GGGGGGGGGGGGGGGGGGGGGGGGGGGGGGGGGGGGGGGGGGGGGGGGGGGGGGGGGGGGGGGGGGGGGGGGGGGGGGGGGGGGGGGTACTCATAGCCGTGCATGCCGTACTCGTTAGATCATTGACCGGGGGCGAGTAGGAGGGGCGTACTCTTGTGTTGTGCGTGCCTTAGCGGTTAGGCCGTTGACCACACGCTTCCTCGAGAAGACGGAGCATGGGTCCCACAGGACCAATCACTGATGACCAATCTTTCCTTCCTCTTTTGCCACAGGTGGCTCACAAATGTTTTTCCCTAGGCTATCTGTCCGTGGTGATCGGAGAACCGCATACCTTCTTGCGTTGCAAGTGCACGGCAAGCCGCGCCAGCCCGGAAAAAACGGCGATTGTATCGTCCCGTGGGATCTAGCTAGGGCAAGACGCTTCCAAGCGCATCTACGTTCAACATGAGCATCAAACCGAGATGCGCTGGTACACGCTGACGAATTGGCTACAAGTAACACGTATTGTTCTGTTTATTCTGTGGTTGCCCGACCGCGCTGGCTTGCCGTTGGCTCGTCACTCCGACTTGCGAAACAACACCTACAAGTACTGCGCATCTGCCATCGTATGCCACATCGTTTGCAGAGACAAAAAAAAACAGGACGTGAATGGACAAAAATAGGGATGCGGAAAGAAAGCAGCTGGTCTGCATCTACCTGGAAGTAGCGGTAAGCGTCTCCACGCCACGTGGCTTGGACAGGCTGGGCCTGACAGCCGTACCCTTCCTGCACCCCGGTATGGACGCAGCTTCCCTGCCGGCAAGAGGCACCGTCGCCACCGGGAAAAACAAAAAGCACGGTACAATGACGGGTGCGGGGGTGGGTGCGGACAAGAAGGCGCTGAGGTTCTACACGCCGACAACTATTTTTCGCCCGTCCGAGCGACGTTTTCTGCTGCCGCTGGGGGGGGGGGCTCCTATCGCAAGGGGCGCAGGCGTGCTTGGACTAGCTTTACTGCCGCCAGAGGGGGGGAGAGGGACGGGGGTGGATGCACAGCCGAGATCGAGTCAAGCGTTAATCAACACAACATCGTGCGCACGATACTAAAGCAAAGGAGGTACATCTTTCGGCGGGGTGTGAAGGCTAAAGTACGCTCGATTGGACCCCGTGTGATGGAAGAAAGCTGACAGGAAAATTATCGAACGCCAAGATGGAGACGGAAGGTGTGGTCAAGGGCGGCCTTTCTTGTTGGGACATTCCGCAAAAAGGCAGGAAACCAAAACCCTTCCTAGGAAACCAACCAGCGTCACCACAACAAGCACCACCCAGGTAAAAAAAACATCGGGCGAACCCCGACCGAAAGTACGACCCAGCCGAGAGCCCCCGGCTCTTCAAACACACCTCGACGCAGGCGTCGAAGCTGCACGCGTCCCCGTCGTCGCAGTCCTCCGCGGAGTGGCAATCCCGGGGAGCGTACTCCACGCTGCCCTCCCACACCGCCCCGCGGTCTCCCACCGACAACGAAAAGCTCGCAGCTGATAGCTCCC